ACAAATTCAAGAAAATTTTAATCAAAATCCAAATGTGATTTTTAAAATTAAACTTGAAAATCAAATCCAAAAATTTACCTGAAGATAGTGCCAAAGAGAGTAATGTTCTACTGAATAATAAAGCATAAACGTAGAATCTAACTACTATACTGACAAAATAGATGATAAAATGTCAATAAAAGACTACAGAGATTGCAGAAATAAGCCTATATATATGAATTTTGATACTGTAAATGTGGCAATACAAGTCACTGGGGAAAGAATCTCTTTAATCACATCAGGTAATGGATATTCACTAAAAAATAACTTAGATGCTTATAGTCATGAATAAAATGGACTAGTTACATTGCACAAATTTGCAGGTAACCTAATCAGTATTATTTCACGACATCTTCTAGGGATCGTTAGCCACTGGGTATGGAGCAGATAAAGAAGGTAGTGGATCATCTATGCTTGAGAGCAATGCCACTGAGGTCAACAATTATAGATTCAGGATTTTCCCAATAGTAAATATTTACTTCTATTTTGAGATCCCTTCTCAAATTATAGTTCAAAAAATAGGATCACTGGGAAACCTTCTAGGGACTAAATTAAGTAATAGAGGTACAAAGACTAAGATCCTCACCTTGATAGGCATGCTATGGAAGCCCTCCAGTCTCTCTTTTGCTTCCTCTATCTACCACCACCCCAGCTACCACAGAAGTTTCCTAATTCTTCTGATTTCCTTTGTCCCCTTATATGCTTCTACCCCACATTCTAGAGCGACATAATTTTTCTAAAATATAGCATATCTCAGGTATTTGTCCAGCCTGACTCTTGCTGGCTTTTCATGACTTTAGAACAAATTATGATCAATAATTTTTAAAAAAAAGTATATCATCAATTATATGAGTACCCTGATTAAAAATGGTCATCCATTATCTACTGAAATAAACTAACAACTAACCCAGCATTCAACATCACTCAAATTTCTTTTCCATCCCTCCTTTCCACGGCTCCCCTCTCTGTGTGCAGATCCTCCCACTTGGATCACAGATTACTTAGATGTGATCTTCCATATTTTGAGTTCCTGCTCACCTTTAAATACCTCGAGTACCTTCTATCTTTCTGTAGCACTTACTTTACTCTGCTTGCTTTTGTTAAATGAGTCTTATTCCTCCCACTCTCCCCATTAAGATCTTAAAATTTTTTAGCCCAGAAGTTGTATCTTGTTCATCTGTATCTTCTTGTTAGGACTGAGTACATGAGTACATGTTAGGTACTCAAAAAAACAAGATTAAATTGAATGGACTTCAGTATTCAACTTTTTTTTTTATCTTCTTGCTTCCTAAAGAGACATGCTGTGTAATTCCTACAACAGCATCTGAATTAGCTAGCTAAAATAATATAGCATCTATCCTGTTTGTACTCAGATTATGTACAATTTTTGGTAATATTTGCTAACTCTTAAAATCTGGCTCATTTATGTCACATCTTATGTCTTAAGATGTCATGCATATTCCAGTATGCTTATTTCCTCATTAACAACTCTTTTTATTCAACATGATTCCTAGATTGATTCTGACTGGACTTGTACTTGACTGCTTATTTACATAGAGTATTAGTCTTTTCAGCTTTCTAGCATCCAGGGTATGGTCACTCCATTCATGGAGTAAGCAAAAATAAAATTGTCTCCACATTGTCAGAGTAATGTAAATAGAGACATACATGGGAGTCATTATCATCTAGGCATAAGTAACAGACCAAATAACTTCTCACAGAAGAAGGAAACAGTATAGGGTAAAATTGACCTGAGATGAATATTCCACTATCCCCATCACCTCTTTTCCCACTGTGCTTTGAGGAAAGACTCAGTGAAGAATCTAGAGAGCTATGGAACTCTGGAACTCCCAATGTGGAAAGGCAATGGGATGCAATTAACACCCTGCCGCATTTTTTTATTATTAGCTTATGCTGCAGAGAAGAAATGTCTAAAAGGCTATTTAAATTCAGTATAAAATTCTAGCAACCACAATTTTAACTGCATAACTGCAAAACATTTCTCTCATTGTTGAAATAGAAAGAAGGCTGTAACGCATGCTGCCTACTTGTTTCAGGACTCAGTTATTAACCTCTAAGAATGTTTTCTAGGAGAAAAGCCTCTTTCTCTAGCAAACGCATCCTGAGACAGGGACTTAACCTAAAATCCTAACTCCTGTCTTGGACCATGTCAACACTTCAATCCCTGTCATAAAAACACCCTGAACAATATTTCAGACACAGGAATATCAGAGCTCTTCTTTTTTTAATTGGCAGCTAAAAAATAATTTTTAGCAGTCACAGAAATGAAAAGCTACCTTGTTCTCCAATACACAAACATACACATGTAAAAAAATGCATAATATGCAGTCTGATTACTCAACAGCAAATCACTGCAAACACAAGAAAAGACCTGGTTGCTGTTTCCATAGCAATGACTTTATGTGGTTTAACTCTTCTGGGAATTTAACCAAATCCCCAGAAGCAGGAGAAAATCATCAGCAAAAATTTTGTAACATATGGCAACTGCCAACACATCAGTGAGGGAAAAATACTTTTATTTTCTCTTCCTTCTTTTCCACTGAGAGGAATACCTTCATGTCAAACTGTTGAAAGAAGCATAGAGATTTTGTTGGTCACCCTGCACTTAACTCAAAATTTTAAAATACTAGGTTTCTTCTTCCTTAGATTGAAAGAGACGTTGGTCCCCAGCCAGCTCTGTAGCTCATGCATCCCCAGAATGACATGTGGACATGGACAAGAGGTACATACATATTCCCATGACTCGCAGCTTATTCATCCTAAAGAAAAACTCCATCTGCAGGGTCATCTCTCGGGAAAGAATGCAAATGGAATTTTATTCTCTGTTTTGCTTTTAAAGCCGTCCTCATCCTGGGGTAGTGTGTGTGTGCGCTTGCACATGACATTTTTTAGTTCTACTTATGGCCCAATGATTAAAGCAAGAGGTTTTTGCAGGAAAATTATAGATGTGGTACTTTCCATGATTTTTAGTTCAAGCAGCCATGTATCTGGAAGGCTCTTCCAAGTACCAAGATAGAGGCGGTCCAGCTCAAGATACTTAAGTGCTCTCTTCAGTATGTCTTTGTAAGAACAAAGATTGTGGGGCACCTGGGTGGCTCAGCACGTTGAGCGTCTGCCACTTTGGTTTTGGCTCAGGTCATGATCTCAGAGTGGTGAGATGGAGCCCTGCATCAAGCCCCAGGTTGTGCTCCACGCTCAGCACCAAGTCCTCCCTCTCCCTCTGCATCTGCCCCTCCCCCTCCCCCTGCTCGTGCTCTCTCTCTGTTTCTGTCTCTCTCTCTCTTTCACTCTAAAATAAAATAAATAAATAAACGAAATATTTTTAAAGAAGAATAAAGATTGTGATCAATATGCAATATGCAATTAATACTCAATGAAAACGATTGTCTCAGAATGAAGAAACACCTCCAGGGACAAGAAATGCATTATTTTCCAAGAAACCCATTCAATTTTGAACCATTTTCAATGTTAAAAGAAGTTTCTTATGCTGAATCTAAAACTACCTCCTTTTTGCTTGCGCTTCTAGCTTTACCATCTGCATTAGTTTTGTACTTCCAAGGAGACAGAGATTACGCCCAACAGTTCTTCTATGTGACAGCACCTCTCAAACCTGAGGCCAGCTCACGTCTCCTGTTTTCCACCCATCAGAGGCCCCCTGTGGCCCCCTGTATTCCTCACTGGTGCTGTTCCCACTCTCCTCCCTATTCCACCTCCTTCACCTCTAGACATAGGTTATTTCACCAATGACATTTTTCACTCCACTCTTTTAAATGTAAAGTAGAGGTATTAAACAAAAATGCCATCAGTTGCCAGGCAGGTAACTCAACTGTGTGAAGCATCTTCAGGTAAGGCCACAAGGAGTGGTGACGATCGTGGTGACTTAGAGAATGAGTTCCCAGCCTGAGCACTCAATTTTGCATAGTTCAAAATACTGTATACACACACACAACTGGGACTACAGTCGTGATCCTTGACTTAAATTACCCTGATACCAAATATTAAATTAATAAGGTATATCTGAAAATTTGAGGACTTAAATAAACTTTCCGATTAGGCTAGGGGAGAGGGGACAGAAGTCGTCTGTGTCCTTGGGCCACTCTGGCAAGGTATCGTGAGAATTTCACCCGTCAACTTTCTTTCAAAAGTACACTGAAAAAATACAAACCAAACTCAGCATTCTCTTGTTGCTCGGTATCTTATATCAGGTAAGCTTGTTTTTACAGCTGAGTAAATAAGGTACAGACCATCCAAAAAGACACATCATGACTGAAAACTAATAATAAAAAAAAAGTTGGTCTGAACAAAAGATAAAGACCAATTATCACAGAGTATTAAGAAAGTTCACATTATTAATTTCCATACTCCATTAACTGTTTCCTTTGCTAAGATTTAAAATATTTTGTTGTTGTTGTTTTCAAAAGCATACACTGCTTCCTTTGTGTTTAAAAGTTCTGGTGCTGCCTTCCAAAGTGCATGCAAATTGTCTGTCTTCCCCGTTAACCACAGACACCTTCAGGAGCCAACTAACGAGGAGCCAGACGTTTTCTGTGGTTGTGGCCCAGGGAAGGTGGTTGCTCTCCGTTTGTTTGGGACCGCAAGATATCAATCTACAAAACCTTGATCTAATCACCACAAGCTCCAGGACATAGGATGGGACCAAAAGGGAGTCAAGCTTTTCCTCAGATCGGTGGAAAATTACATGTCTCATCACTATAAGCATGTGGCCAGTGACACTTACATGGGTAATTAATGGTCTCGAAGCTGGAGTCTTCCACATACAAACTCCCCTACCGAAGCAGCCCTTGGGCTTAGCCCCACCTGATTGTTTAATTATTGAATCACCATCCATGCCTTTCAACATTCTCTTAACAAATTAAGAGTTCTATATCCATGAACAAATATTCATTCTCTAGAAAAGAGTAAATAACTTTTTGGTTTACCTCTGTCTGCCATCTTTGATCCAGTGGGCTTGTCTGGGACAATAAGATGGTCCAGGTTGCTATTCAGTGAAGAAGTGTCATCACTAGACAGAGAGTTCAAAAATCCACTTTCTGATGTGGCAAAGCTGTTGTCCAGAGCCCTGCAACTGTTTGCCTCTGAGGGTGCAGGTGAGTGAACATGCACAGCAAATGTCATAGACTGTCCCTCACCGTCAGCAGCGGCGGAACTATTTACCATGTCGATCCAGGACTGTCTCTCTCTAGATAAGGAGGCCAAACTGCTGTGTGTCTTTATTGTACTTTCCGAGGAAGAGGAAGAACAGGATTTGGGTGAAGAGAGAGATGCCTGCTGTGCAGCCTGTTTCACAAATAAAACCAAAAAAAGAATAAAATAAATCATGATTAAACTGGCATTCTCTACTTTCCATTTTCCATGAAGGTACACCAATGTTTCAGAAACAAATTATTAGTAACAAATCATTTTTAAAACCATTCACAAGTTTTGGGTTCATTTTTTTTTCATTTGTTTTACCAACTGTAATTCAGAATAAAAGCGTTTTGTTCTTGTATTTAACCCTTTTTTTCCAAACAGCTGAAGACACCATATTTAACTTTGTATCTCAGTGATGGGGGAATAGCTGCCTTGGCCCTTGCATAAGACCTTAATTCTCACACTTCATGTGAGGATTATTAGTACAATCCCTTTTTATTCTGCTTGAGTTAAATTTGCTATAAGGGGAAAGTAATAATTCTTAAGCTTCCTCATTATTTAATTTGAAGATTCTTTAACATATCACAGGAAAGTTCATTATAAAACTGTTACGAAGACTTGATAAAATACACTGAGAGAGAATTGGCCTGTTTGTATTCCGTATTTCCATTAGTTGCCACAAGAGATGCAGTTAAGATTATATTTAAATTTAAATTCCATTCTACTTCTTATGGATCTACGTCCCCATGTTTAACTGACATGCTGGGGACTCAGTTGTGTGCTGTAATGTCTTATTAAAGAAGATACTAAAGAAACCTAAACTAGTCTAAAGAATCAGAAGAAAAATGTATGATATTTATATTCACATGACAAGAACTATGATGCCATTGTCCAAAACCAATTTGTATAACTTTAAATTCTCTGTTTTAGGATCTGAAAGATCTCCATAACATGATTTACCCTATTCTTCAATGCTCCCTAAAAATGTAAAATGCCCCTTTGGGGGATTCTTTGAAATACTAAAGGATACTTTGAGCAAAAAAAGAGATTGTAATTGATTACTGAATTCTCACTGATTGAGCAAAAACTCTTGAGAAAGGTAATTAAGAGAAAGAAAACAAAAGCTGAAGCCGGACGGGAAGCAAAATATTAACTGAGTGGAGACTACAGATGTGCACAAAGTACATATATTTAAGTTCTCCAATATCATTTACATATTCCTTAGCACACATCTACCAATAGCTCATAACTACATAGGTGAAATCATGTTAGCTCATTAGCTCTTTAATAACTTAAAACTTTTATAAACTTTGGGCACCTGGGTGGCTCAGATGGTTAAGCGTCTGCCTTGGGCTCAGGTCACGATCCCAGGGTCCTGGGATCGAGCCCCGCATCGGGCTCCCTGCTCAGCGGGGAGCCTGCTTCTTTCTCCCTCTCCCTCTACTGTTCCTCCTGCTTGTGCTCTCTCGCTCTCTCTATCAAATAAATAAATAAAATCTTTAAAAAAAATAAAAAATAAAACCTTTAATAAACTTTGACCAAAAAAGAATCCATTTGCAAGCTCTTAATTCATTAAAGAGAAACCAAAAATTGCACCCAGACTATGAGTAGTAGGTTGATGATACAGGATCTTCTGAAAGCTGTTCCTAACATACAATGCAAGAGTGAATAAGAGTTCTTGGCAAAATGTTCATCTCCCCATGGACAAAACATCAGTGCAACATCACCAATCACCCTCTCTCAGAAAGGACTTCATTTATTCCAAGATTTTATCCTTGTTTCATTTTGATGATAAAATATATTCCTTTTTTTGGAAAATGGTGATAGATGTTAGTTTTTGTCTTTTTAAAGTATTTTTTAATGTCCTATGTAGCAAAATAAAAATTTGGCAACTATATGTTGTTCCTTCATTTTTAATTTTATTTGTCAATAAAATCCAAAAATCTAGACAACAGAGACAACAGTGCTCTCTGGGTCACCTTATATCTCCAATGGCAGATGAGACAGAAAAGGCATTTTATGGCTCAGGTTCATCAATTTCAAGCATTCAAAACTCCAAAGAAGTGGTAGTAAGGAAATTGTTAGTGGGAAGAAGCCAAAGAGCAAACTAGGATTTTCTCCCAAAAGCCTCAGAATCATTGCAACTAACTCAGAATGGTTGATTTTGTTTCCATCCAGTATGTTCCCAAGAATTTTGCAGGTTCTAAACTCTGAGTTCTGATGGGAAAAGCCAGTATTTACCCAATGTATGCTCAATTTGCTGAATACTAGACATGCATTGTCAAATAATCAGTAAATCCATTTTTTAGGAACATGACATTAAGATATCCAGTTAAGGATATCTGGCTTAGACTGAGACAGCTGGGTGGCTCAGTCGGTTAAGCGTCTGCCTTCAGCTCAGGTCATGATCCTGGGGCCCTGGGATCAAGCCCTGCATCAAGCTCCCTGCTCAGTGGGGAGCTTGCTTTTCTCTCTCCTGCTCCCCCTGCTTGTGCTCTCTCTCTCCCTCTCTCTCTCTCTGAAATAAAAATCTTTAAAAAAAATAAAAAATAAAATAAAATATCCAGTTAAGATACTAGCTCATCACATACACCTTATTAATAGTATATTTGTACAGACATGAAAACTTTCCATTCAGGAATGTGTCAGTGGCTTACAAATCAGTTGCCTTAAATCATTCAGATCATTTAACAACTAAGAGATTAAGGATCTGTAATTCACTAAATAAAACCTTAGTTATCCAGAGGAGATAACACACAGCCCCCAAGCTGTCCAAATAAATGCTAAGCCTTATTTACCAGTCATCAGAATGATCTACGAAATAAATATCAACAAAAATACCGTTCAGACGTAGTCCTGACATGTTCCCCCATTGTTAGCTATTTTAGTAAAACTTGGCTTTGGTGGGGCCAGATTCCTTTTCCGAAAAGAGACCAAGTACAAGGTTTTCCTGTTGCTCCTGTTGATATTTCTGTAATTTGATTAGCAAAATGGGCTATTTGAGCAAAAGCCTGTCCACATAGCTGCTGCAGCACTTTTCCCATAAGCCTTTTTGGACCTCAAAACTCTGCTTAATGGGCCAAGGAAAGACATTTTCATTGAGCATCAGAAATTTCTGTGAAGTATATTCCCTTTGGAGGTACCACTCAAACACAACTCAAATGTTTCCAATCCATCGTCTCTACTCTTGTGCTGTGTAACATTTAGAAATTTGATTTTTAAATGGAAAAAGTGAGCAAGAAAAAACAAGGAAGAACTAGAGAGATGGAAAGAGAAAATGAGAAAAAAGATGATGTGTATCAGGCCAGAGGGAGCTTCTATTAGAAGAGAGATTAGCAAAACAGGAATCAAAGTGATCTTGGAGTGCCATCTCAGAGGGCTGAATATGGAAACACTCTTTATAGATACTGTGGTGCTAAATCACAAGTCATTATTTCCACCACTGTGTAGCTACCAATAGCCACAGTCAGAGAGAGAACATTTAGCTCAGTGCCTTCTATGAACCATCCATGTAATATACTCACAAAACGTCTCGCTGCAAATCTAATGAAGGTAGAAAGAAGTGACAGTCTCTCCTGGACTGCAGAAGGGAGGGACAAGCCCATCCCTCTGTATCAGTTCAAGGACCACCTCCTCCAGGAAGCCGGCAGTGAGCTCAAGGCCAGGTGGGTACCTCCGCGTGGTGTTCCCAGGCTTCCTTCTATCCTAGCAGGTGGAATATCACTTTATTTGTCAATTAATACTATAACTGCTGACAGACTTGTTCACCTTTTTTTTGATGAGCCACTTGAGAACAGGCTGTTTTTAACTATTATTTTTGCCTGTCTATTTTTTTACATCTGTACCTGACGTATAGCTGGTAATAAATTAATGCCAATACCAAATGGTCTAGAAGAAAAACAGCCCAGAGTAGTTCAGTCTTTTATGGAGGAACGCCCCAAAATTCTTTGTAGAATTGCTACAAATGATTTATCCCAACCCCAGGATCTAGGAGTGACTCTCACTGATTATAATGCAAATACTCCCACAAAATGTTCTCATGATCGCAAACAAAATTATTATTTTATCTATTAGAGGTTAATAATTGCATGGTGGTTCATTCATTTCAGAATATTTGGGTTTTAAAGATTTTACTTTTTAATGAGAAAATTTAAAGACATCTTAAAGATCTAAGTTTTAATGAAGAGACTATATGATTAAGTTAAAAAATCAATATTGCTTTTTCCCATTTTCTTCACGGATTTGGGTGTCATCCTTGTGCAGGGGCCATGCTAATCTTCTCTGTATCATTCCAATTTTCATATATGTGCTGCCAAAGTGAATACACTTTTTCCCATTTAATGTATATTTTTTTATTTGAATTCCAATTAATTAACATACAGTGTAACATTAGTTTCAGGTGTAGAATTTAGTGATTCAACACTTACATAAGATATTTGTATTTATCAAAGAAGCTTAGTTCAAATGATTAGCTCTAAAATCTTTTTCTTTGAATTGTTCAAAAACACAAATTTGACATAGGGAAAAACAGTTTAAGATAGCCACCAACATTCTGGAATTAGGAAGAAGTGAATCAGCATATAAATGTTAAGCAACATTGGTCAAGGCATATTTTAAAAAAAAGAAAAAGAAAATACAGGAATAACTTAAGACTAAACATACAAAACCAAACGAGAAAAAAAAAAAAAAAAGGAACGTACCCATATGGCTTTTCTTCTCTTTTATTGACCACATTCAAACCAGTCAATTGCTGCTAAACCCTAGGAAGTAATGTCTATATTTCTACCATATGCTAGTAGATGCATTCCTCTAAAAACCCAGATACCTTATAGAGCACACACCCCCATCTGACCCAGCCTTCTGCATGACCCTGGGCAATGAGGTGGCAGAGGATCTGCTCCTCCCTCCAATCCCTTGTATCCAAGTGACCTTGAAGAAGTCACTTTAGCTCTAAGTCCTATTCCTTTGACTTCTTCCTGCCACAATTACCCATCCCCTCCCTACCCTAGTCCATCTTCCAAACAATAACTACAGGTCTTCCTCCTTTTTTAAGATTTTATTTATTTATTTGAGAGAGAGAGAGAGAGAGGGAGCGGGGGCAAGCACGAGCAAGGGGGAGGGGCAAAGAGAGAGGGAGAAGCAGATTC